AAATATTCAAACGTTGCAGCCTCGATGCGATTTACAATCTTCCAGGTCGTAACCGTCAGCTCTGGTTTGGTGAAAGAATTCTTAGAAACGCAAGAACCAAGAAAAAAAAATTTACAAATCCTTCGTTAAGATTTCCACCAGAAACGCGAAGTTAAAAATCGTCGAAAGTCTTACTCCAATTAAGAACCGCGAGAGAAACTAAATTAGAAAGTGCTCGATAACGCCAGAAAAATGGCCGGCCATTGAAACGACCGCAATTAATTGCAATTAAATGGACCTTTTCGACGCGACGACGGTAGAGAGGCGCAATTTGTTTCACGGTAGCCAAAGAATTTTATGTCGAGAGCTTTTTTGCAGCGTGGCTCGCGATGACGTACGATTTTAACGGTCAGGCGTTTATATTACGGACTTTCCGCGGTGAATTCGCTGGGGGACCCTAACGTCTTAACATCGGCAACGGTATATGCCTAACCCAGACCTTGTATTCACGTTGCAGGCGTATATCGTTGGCCATTAGTAAGCGATACCTGAAAAGGAGTATAGAGGCGGCTCGAGGATCGCACGTCTTCGCGTTTATTCCGTAATATCTTCGCGGTTTCACGAAGGCACGTCGTTGGTTTTGACCGGAGGCGTCTCTAAATTGTTTGCTCGTGACCTATGAGAGACGAAGACCCTTTTCTGCGTCCGACATTTTTGTTACTGCTTGAAATCCTCGCGACTTGGGAGGTAGACGCATGAACGATTATCAGTGAAAGTGACAATGGCTGAGCTCCGCTGATTTAATCATAGTTGAAAACTGAGATCTTCCCTCGAAGCAGCCCACGATCTTCGTATGGGGAACAGAATTCAACTCACAAACCATTCTGGGATATATGAAATAAGGTATCGAGTATGCAGCCTTTGTTACGAGCTTTCGATTGCGATCATTTTTAAATTCTGAATTTCTTATACAAAAAGACCAAACTTCGATGAGATTCCTTTGAAACGTAGACTTTTTCCCAAAGCCGTAAAAGGGTACAGAATTGAACAGGATTTACAGGAATACGTTGTTCAGTTTTGGAAAAATTCATCACGGTTGTCGCGGTGTCAACATGAGAAATGATAGAAGGAACGAGTTCTCGAGGCCGAACAAGACTCTTAGCGAAGATGCTGTTTCAGCATTAGTCGATAGAAGATTATTTTTACTTTAATGAAACATCGTACACTCAGCGCGACGCAAGGTAATATTTCTCGACTGTAATACCAGTTTCGAATGAAACTACTTATCAAAACTTCGTTTAAGTTTAAATATCGATTGCCTCGTTAGGATATCCTCCGCCTGTGTATACGATATTATCACCAAAGCGTTTCTGTCGGTACATCTATTCTGTTCGCGAGTGCTGCATCGAGAATCCTCGAAGTCACCGAAGAGGAAACAAATTAACTACCCCTGAGTCTCTCGTGAAACCGCCCCTGTGCGAGTCTCACGCGTCGATTCCGATCCCCCGGGTGACGGCCGCGATACAATGAAATTGGATTAAGCTCGCGTTCAGGAGTTACATCCACTGTGTCCTCCCGGCGAACAAAGAGAGAGAGAGATAGTTTTAACGATCCACCGGCGTACAAATTGTCGAGATGGTATCTTTGGGCCCCGCGGGAGCCTCGCGAGCGAGAGAGAACAGATAGCGGACGCGATAAACCGAGTGCAACGAGGACCCAGGATCGCGGAAAGAGGATGGATAGAGGACAGGGGGAGATGATGCGAGGGAAGATTAGGGCGGTATCTCCCCACCGGCGCGGAGACTCGGGTGATCCTGATGCCACTGTTGCCGACAGCGCGCCGTCGCTATTCGTCGCCCTGGGCCCGAACGATGGGTCCCGTACGTTAAGGATTCTCAACAGTAAATTACAAAATATGCTAAGCGGCTGATATAAATCAAAACCTGGCAAGGGTTGCCCTAGGAGTCGCTACGAAGGGCTGCTGTCCTCGTCCACGGCTACCCCGAACGGGGGGGCACTCGATTCCGGTTTCGCGGGACCCAAAATAAGGAGGGTGCCCCGTGTCACGAATCCAGGAGACTCTCTCTCTCACAACGTGCCAACATCGGAGTTTGCAAACCGAGCAAATGGACCGGAAGACCCAGCACATGTGCGATTTAGGGTTTAGGACACCGTATTTGGACCGGCGATATAATTGGATCGACGTTGAAATTAATACAGTAATGGTTGCTGCTTTCGAAGGATCTAGCATTGATAGAACGTTGGAACGATTTTATACTAGGAAGATAGTGTAAATTTTTAGAATCTGGACCGTAGAAGGTCAACAGGTCGACTGCCAGACTAAACCTCTCAAATTGTCTCTGTTTTTAGACAACTGGAAACTGGCACACTCCTATCTAGATTTATTTTCTTTAACATCTGATTTTAAGAATTAATTGTTTTAGCTCCTCAGTGAAGAATCAATGTGTTAGAGTATCTTATTTATCAATTTAACCCTTTGCATTCGGAGACTTCTCTTACGAAATAGATAGTAAATACTAATAGTAAAGGCTTAATACAGTATATAAGGCAGCAGAAATAATAAAACAGTATATTTTAAAACGAAGGCACGGCCATATTAGCATTAAAGAAGAAAAAATTCCATTCTGTTACACAATGTGCAATTACTACGTAATAAATAATATCGGATAAGGAGTAGCCTGAACAAATGGCGCGGTTCTGTTTCGGGGCACGGGAACGGATGGCGTCGGTTATGAAACACGAATTAGCCGAGCGAATCGGGGTGCAGTAGGCGATTGTGATTCGCATCGTGGATCAACGACGGAGATTTATGGCTGGCCTGGGTCGTCACGGGGGTCGATTTCGCGGCGAGCTGGCGCTACTTCACGGGGATCCGCGATATCCAGGTGCGATAAAAGCGCGCGGTCGCGTTTGATAGGGCCGCGGGAGCTGGCACGCCGATCCCAGCGAGTTCGATGCGCGATTGAGATACCGGTCGAGAGGATCGATCGGTTTCGCCGACGTCTCGGCCAAGATCTGCCCGCCACTGTTTGCCCGCGCGAGGCCACCCTCTGGGAAAACGTAATTACCGAAATGTTAGATTAGTCTGACGTTTCAATATTCAAAAAATGCGGTGCAATCACCGGGGATCGTTAACCCTCCGACCATTCGCGAGTCGAATGGATATTAAAGTTTTTAGACTGTTCTAAGACAGTGGAAATTCAAGATTCTCCACTTTCGTCTTTGCTATCTGATACCAAACTTTGTCCAGTTTTTTATAAAAATATATAAATCATGCAACCGATCAGACCGGTCGTGATAGACAAGGCAGACTACATATTTTTCTCAGAAAACAAACACGAATAGAAGTGAATATTCATTGTACGTATACTATAAGAAAAGTCGTGAAGTTGAATGGCGCTGAAGTAATATTGTGTGTTAGAAATTCTAAACGAAATTTTAAAAACGGTCATTTGAGATAAAATATCTGATTAGCAGACCATTCGAGCAGTCCTAGTTCCAGCGGAGATCGGGTGACCAGCGATTGTTCCACATAGAGACGACGCGCGTCGCGATAAATTATGCCGGTCGCGAGCACTCAATTATGCGCGCTGGGACTATTAATCGAGATACGGGGAAACGTGGATGTTAATAAAGCGTCGGGCAGCGCCGAAGAGTGTTTTCAGCGACGTTTACACGCGCTATCTGGCGATCTACGCTAATCGAGCACTCCCGATGCGCCTAGTCGTCACGCGCCGCTATCTTCGCGAACTCGCGAACCTTTTGGTCTCAGTTTCCAGCCAATGCCAGCTCGTATCGTTGAATTAACACGTTTCGTACTGGACATCGGCGAACAGAATTTTTAATCGACCAACGTTCGTCTGAAACGATCATACCGAATCCCATCTACATAATTATTCTCTGCCGGTTACGTAAGATCTCAATTCTTGACATTCAAAACATTATTTTTTCTTGTTCAAAGTTATCGATGGTCCAATTGATCGCAGACAGCTCTTATCGAGTATAAACTTCTATGCTCCGTTACTTTTATTCCAAGAAGTTATACATCTCGTTTCCTAAAACCCTTATTAACAATCCCTTGTAATGTGAGAAATTATTTGAAGTTATCGCGACCGCGTTTTCTCCGGATGAACATTGCAAAGACAAAAGAGATGCATCCCGATATGCATCGATGCAACGCTGCGAGCGTATGTTTGTGCATTATTCAGTCGCTGGAACTGCGTGCTTAGAATATTTCCATGTATCGCGGGAAGGCGTTGCAGGATAACTGTGGAAAGTCGTGATTTTTATCTGGTGACCTTAAGACACAGATACTAATATGCCATAGGTTCAACGGCGAGGCAACGCGTCATTTTGCATTAGCATTATGCAGCCGCGCGATAATGAATAGTTTCGCTATAGTATCGCTGCCTTGAGTCTTGGACTACGGGAGAACGTATTTCAGCATTTTTCGTTCGACCGGGAACGTCCTCAAATATTTTCAGCAACGGATGATTCGAATATTTATCAACTTATTCGAAAAAATCAACAGTATTATTTCGAACCAAAGGTTCTCAAAGATCTCGAAAGTCTCCATCGAGTTTCTATCGTGGGAGGTTAATAGATATGTACTCGAGAAACAAGCACCTAACGCGTGATTTTATAAACCGATACGGTGGTTATGTTTGCCTCTTACGCACCTACGTATATATTCTCTCACATTAGAATAAAAGCAATTTTTATTTGTTTGGAGCTGCTCGAATGAGGCTTCGGTATTTTCCAGATTTTATTAACCCTTTGCACTAACTCAAACACACTTACGAAATAGATAGTAAATACTCCAAACAAACATCTTTTTAAATTAAAAAATAATCAAATTATCATGTTCGCCAGGCATTCGTAAAACAAACCTGTTCTTCCACATTCAAATCGAACAAAATTGGATACTGTACGTTTCGATTCTAATTGAATGGTACGTCGAAGGATTAAAGTTCGGTTTTCTAATATTTGTTGGCACTTACGTGGACCATAGTTCATGAGTGGGCGGTAGTTTGACGTCCGTCGCGGTCTTTTCCGGCAGCTTGTAGTACTCGTAGACGTAGGAAGCGGCAGGATCGTCGCCATGGCTGGTGACGGCCGAGACCTGGTGTTGCTGTTGGAGATTGAGCATCGCCGCGGTCGCTACCGAGAGCGGATGCTCGCAGTAGGTCCGCCAGTCGCCCTCCATACCCTGCACCTGCACCTGCACCGCAGCAACCCTCTTGTGGACCTCCGGGTCGGCGCCCTCGGCGCCGCTTTGCAGGGACTGGGCCGCCTCCTCCGCGCCTAGTTCCTCCTCTTCCTCTGTATCACGCTGACCGGACACGTAGCTAGGCTGCTGTTGCTGCGAGGTGTCGTCGTTTACCACGCCGCCGTTCGTCTCCTCCTCGCCGCGACTTCGTCGTCTGAAATAACAAACGTGGTCCTTTGTTAGACGCTTCTCCTTTGCCACGGTATCACAAAAGTAGTGCAATTAAACGTCTTTTCCCTTCTTCCTGCTCGTTTGAGTATAGAAAACAAAAGAAAGCGGCAGAAATTAGTTTATTTTTAATCTATTTTATTAATTTTTGTACTTTTTTTTTAGTAATTTTAAATTTCTTTGGGTCGTATATTATTTTCACGAGAACGTCTTGTAAAATCTTTGAAAACCACTGATTTATACGAGACTCCAGGTGGTAAGCTGAGAGACTTCAATGCCTGGTAGCACAGTGCAACCCAGCGCCCTATCCAACGAATTTATATCTTCCAGTATTTAATATTACGTTTAATTCACGTTCGACAGCTCTTTTACTCGTACTAACGTCTTGACAATAATTTCGAAGGGTTAAAATAGCAATATTTGTGGATTATATAAGTGAGAAGCTAATAAACTAAATGCATCCAATTTCGACTCGGTCGTCGACTCTTTCGATTCATTCAATTAATACGACTATTCTCATATGGATATAGAAAGATGAAGCCAGATGTTTTTAAGAATTAAATCTCTGTTTCGCGTTCAACAACTCGTTCCTGGCAGTCCATTCCCCAGGAAACAGTGGACAGCGGTCGACAAACGCCGTCGAAGCTCCGACTGGCGTTCCGTACGATCGTTCGTCGATTTCCCAGAAGGTCGGGGAATGAATTCGCGGGGGAATAACTGTTAGAAATGCCTCGGACATCGTGGAATAAATTACCGCCGGGACCGTCGAATTTATCAATTAACGATAATCGCGGCGCGCGAGCCCCGACCGATGATTCCTCAATTTAGCAATGCCCACCGCGACGGTGGATCCCTCGCGCCACACACAGCTCGCCAGCGTTGATAATTTATTGTCAGCCGCGTCGCGATATCTAATCGCCTCTAAGAACTCCCGTGCGCTGCCATGCCAGCGTGTTTGGTCGAACAGCCACCTGGATATTTGTCATTGGCCGCTGGTTTCCGGGGAAGTTTGCCTTTGGGGTCGCGGGACGGTACACCGGAGACGGGGAAAAATCCTTATCTAGATACAAATTCCCAATAACGAACGGACTATGTATCCAATAAGGAACGAAGCACTTTCCCTGTTCGTTCGACAAAAATTTATATTTGAATACATTTCTCACAAAACTATCTTTTCTGAATTTGCTTCCACGATATCTGAAGATTTACTTGACTTAAAAATTTGTGAATATTACTGAAAGAGTAATAAATATATATGTGAAGCGCCTGTTACAAGAACTTGCATAGTTTCTTTACAAAAAAATACCAGAAAGAATATAAAAAACGCGTTTTACAGTAGAGTCCCTTAATCGAACAAATCTCTGCGGAACAGAAGCGATCGACACTGCGTTTACACGGACGATTTGGATCGACTGGAGGCCGATCGATCAAAAGTCGTCTAATGCAAACGGCGTCTTTAGGATGTTGATTCTCTATCTCAGGCCTAAGCAAACGCATTCCGACGGCTCCAACCTGGTTTCCATCGAAGTGAGCGCGATAGCTCTCGGGCAAGACGAATGACGCCTGGACGATCGCGGATCGATCGAACCGGAGGATGGATCAGCTCCATCGAGAGTGTCCAGGCGGCTCACGAACCGCTGATAAACGACGGATTACAAGCCGCGATTCGCGAGCGTCGTTATGTTACAATTTGTCTTGGCTGGCAGAGCCCTGCCACTGTTTTTCATTCCTACTCGCGATATCGTCGGCGAAACGCTGATGCACGAGAGAGATGCTTCCCGAGCGGCATTGCGGTTTCCGTAGAAAGTTATTGGACGTCGAGGATTCCGGGAATCTGGCGAATAGTCGTTTTCGAAGCGTTTCAGAAGTGGCTGTCGGAGAAGTGTTTGAGTTGGAACTCGTTCGCGGTTGAAAAATGCATCGATGAATTTGTAGAAGTCTCTTCGTTGCTTTGAACCATGAAATTTGTAGTTTCGTAATTCTATGATAAATTAGAAATTGTAGATCGTGTGGTTTGAAATTTTTCAAAAAGAATGCATAATGGAGGTGCAAATTCCTTGTAATCGAATGACAAAGGATCGTAGTCCTGTCGAGTATTATTCTGCGGTGTACTGTGCAATTTGTAAGATTGTTTGTTCGAAAGAAAACGACAGATTTGTTGCACGAGAATACGTGGCTGTCACGCCACGGCGCGAGGCCTCGCACAGCTTTAATTACTCGGGAGTTTTAAGCAAAAAATTCGCTTCCTGTCGTTCCCTGATCGTACAATGTTCCCCGGATCTCTCGCCAGGTGATTCTTTCCCTTTTTCTCCGTCGTAAACGGGCGCTAAAAGGACACGCGAGACACGATAATGGAAAAATCGCAGGAAGAGTCAGACTCGATTCCAGCATCTGCTTATTACTTTCGAAGACCGGGGGGAGAAAAAAGCATTCGATGATGCGTAAGAGAGGATACGGAGATTACTTTGAGGATGATATAATATAATTAATAATAAATTGCTCGTATTTGATGTCCTGAAACTTTTAGATCACATGCAGGGAAATCTATACAATTTATGATATATGTAGCCTGTACTCAAACTGGAGAAATAAGCTATTTATCAGTGAAAGTTTTGTACGAATCGGTCCAGTGGTTCTCGAGTATATCGCGTACAAACTAATTTATATAATAGGATAGATACAGATATGCCCAAAGTGACGATTGCCTCGAAGCAGTTCTTTTCTTTATCAGGACAAATTTCCAACACGCCTAATAAGTGACGCACAGATTTGTTCACATAAATTTCGATCGGTGACCAGCTGTGAAAACTGCTACCTTATCCTCGTTATCTGTCCTGTGTTTATTTCTGGTACATACAGGTTATCTAGTTCTCCTAATTCCGTTTAGAAAAGCGATACGAAAATACCAACAAGAAGGATATAGAAAATATAAATACAATGCTCTTCAAAATGTCGCATATTACGCATATTACGTATATCAAGGATCATTGATGTATCATACTAATTACATTATTATTCGGTTTGCACTATTGCTTTCTCCTATTAAACTTTGACCCGATAGACACGTTCATTTAGCAGCAGATGGTCGCTTGGAAAAATATTCTGTCTAAAGTATGGACACTCCGTGTTTTCTCTCGATACTTTTCCCTTGAAGTTAGGTTTACCTCACCTTTATGCAATTACTCCGTTATGACATGCACGCTTTCTTCTAATTTGCATCACACTGGCGTATTAATAATAATAATAATTACGATACCGTCCAGTCATAACTAGCATTATTGACATTTGATCTCGGTTTCCATGTTCAAGCTAATCGATCGAATCGTCTGATATAGTCTTTAACGAAGCATTGATACATCCACTATTACGTAATGTTTTTTTTAAACAACGTATCAGTGCAGTTCGAATATTTAATTTGACGTAAAGATGGACTCTCTCTTGGATTCTGTTTATATTTCTGAGCTTGCGTAGCCATTTCTTAGAGAACTCAGTCGCCTTCGTATGCAACGTCTCTAACATCAAAATTGTTTTAAATTAAATACCAAAGCTTCTTTCCTGGCACAAAAATCTTATCTGCGAACGATTGAACGCGATCTCCAGGTTCTCGGGTCCTCCAGTTCCAGTTGCGCCAAAGGAATCTACGAATTCGTTGAAAGATCCAGCGAACCGTACGAGCAAAGAAACCCTCCGCGTATCCGTCTCCCCGGTGTTTGCACGTCTCCACTTTGATGATCACGAATGAACTCATTATACGCGTGCACGGTACCGCGTGAAAACGAACCTCCTCCCCGTGGAAGATCGCGACGCTGCGTCCTGGCGCGATCGGCGTCATCGAACCCGGGGTTGCCCGACGGCCGTGGCTGTGCAAACACCCGTCGAGGAAAATATTTGCACAGGATAACGCGGCCCCTCATTATCGGGGTAGGTTGGCGCGCTGTTAGAGGGGCGACGGTTGCCCAGGTGCGGGAACAGGAGCAACAAGACGAAGGACTACGGGCGTCGAACGACCGGGAAGAAGGATGGACGAGGTCGGTGAGAAGGAAAACGAGAGGAAGAAAAAGGGATAAGAGCCCGACGAGACGGCCAGAGCGACGTCGGGGCAAAGGGGGAGGGTAGTATGGGGAGGGGAGAAAAAGGGGAGATTGATTCGACATGCATAAATTAGAGAGGATGAGCCTTTATTCCGTGCGCGACTCACCGGGATCGGGATTGGGATTGGATTTGGGATGCGCGCGAGAGGAGTATAAATTGATGACTGTAGGCAAAAGGCAGGGGTTTATAATAATTAATCTTCGTGCGTGCATATATATATATATGGTTCCCCGTCCTTCTCGTACCCCGAGCGACACTCTTCGTCCTTCATCCGGCGTCTCGTTCCACTCGCGAGGCATCTGCTCTCGCATCCGGCGAGTATTTTCTTTCGCGCCGCGGTGTTATTATTGTTATTATCGCTGTTATTATTAGTAAACGTCTTTATTACGCGCACCTAGAACCACGCATGTACAGAGGTGTTTTTAATATGGAGGTTCGGAGGAGAATGAAATGCACTTTGTAAAATGAATTAACCCAAAGTTATCGAAAGAGTTAAGAAATAGAACGCGAACCGGAGTCCTCGAACTCGTCGGTTGTCCCTGCGATAAATCTATCTGCCCAGTTCAGCGGTTATGGCTTCGTGGGTATACGATTAATAGTTCGCGAGGTATTTAATGTTGAAATATCGCCGGTAGATGGAACATGCGAACCTGGGGAACCGAAGGAAAGGGAACCTGGAGTGGGAAAAGCGTTTAATATTCCGCGGGAGTGTTGTCCACGCGACTTGGGAACCCACCCTGTCGCTCCCTCGCGTGCATTTCAATAAACCCGCCTTCGCTCGTGCGCACGATCGACCAATCGAACGTCCATTTAATCCACCGGATCATCGATTCCACTTTTACGAAACAAGACTCCCCACACCTTAATTTCAAATAATTTTTGCGTGATTTTCAC